CATCGAACAGGCCTGGATCATCCGACGCATGATCAAAAATTTAACAAATATTAGTTTGCCTATCAAAATAACCTTATTTTGATTGCCAATCCCTAATATTGTGGTCTAAATGCAAATCTTGGACTATACTAAGCAATAAAAACTCTCCCCGTGAACCGTACAAGGGATTTTTATTCCAGGTTGTTGGCCGAGGCTTTAGTCAGCCGGACCCATATTTGTGACGTCACTGCTAGTCTAGGGCAAATTTTAACTCAGTCTTATGCCTGGCATAAGCATCTTATATACAGTAGTGTTGTGATTATTTTAAAGTTTAAATTTTTATAATTATTCATGTCATTTCGTATTTCAGGCAAAAGTAAAGCAGTAATAGCAGCTGTGGTTGGAAGTTTGGTTGGTTTACTGGCAATTGTTTTCGTTGCTTGGTTGGTCTGTAGAAAACCAGGTGAGTCTTGCTAGAAACAAGTGTTCAAGGCTCATATCTAGGAGGAGGGGTACAATGGTGCATGCACACTCCCCAAATCAGAATGCAGATACGACCCTGACTCCATGGGTGTATGATAGGGGTGCAGATGCACCACCTCCAACCCCCCACCCCCACCCCCATAGAAGAAATTACTTCCACTAAGTGGGTTAAAGTACTAAAAATGACCACTAAGTATTCATTGCAATAAGCAGGGATTTAGGTTCGCATTCTGGGATTTAGTTCAGCATTCTCATTTTTTGCTCATTTTTTGCACCCCAAGGCCCAAACCAGTCTACGCACCTGGACTCCATGTAATATTTTTCATTGATCATTGTCATTAAGATGATAACTTAAGGAGTAAAGACAATATTAACTTAGTAAATGAAAAAAGAAACCAAGAAGTTTTAAATATATACTGTTGCACTGCTAAAAGACTGCATTCTATTTAGCTATTCAGGATCTTTTTAATTAAATGTACTTTGTTGTTAATAGGGAGTTTTCCCAAGCTTGTGAAAACGATAACGAATACTTACGTCATAAGTTTCTAAGACAACCATTCCCCTACGGAAGCATATTTGTCACAATGCAGGCGATTCATGTCTTTTACATGAATCAAGGATCATATTCAGCTCATACAGCATATTGTTTGTTTTAGCACGAATGAAGATAACGTATTTGTTATCACTTCCGTATGGTTGTGAATTCTCCCTAACACCTCTGCCTTAGAGGTTTCACCACTGTTTGTCTTCCTGTTTGTTTCTCAGCTTGAATAGGACAGTATGCAAGGTTAAATGTAATAAAATGTGTCTATTTTACAATACTGTTAATTTAATTATTGTTGCTATGCAATTATTATACAGTAGAACCCCAACAAAACGGGACCCCTTCAAAACCAAAAGAAGTATACTCTTAATGGTGGTGTCTTCTGAGCAGGGGTTGGTTATTTTGTTAAAGTTTACAATTTCCTCCATTTGCAGCTTAAAATCTCTCTCCTTAATAAATAGGTGTGTCCAAAAAATATTTTTATGAAATAATTATTTCTATAATCACATTGAATATGTTATCATTTCAGATGGTTCGGAAAAAAATAATTCTTTCATAGGTAATATATATATTTTTGCACTCATACAGTATATCAATTTTCTTTGTATTTCTTCAGATTTATATTTTAGCTATTGTTTATGCAGATAAAGTCAACTGAGGGCCAGCATTAGTGAATTGAGATCTATAGATGTCAATTTATTTATATTCGAAATATGGAAAATGTATATTTTACAGCAATGAAGCATACCTGAATACATGCTAAAAGCTATGCAAAGATCATCTATCTCTCAGATAATTTTTCTCATACAAATAATAGATTAATCTAATAATAGATTATTTAATCTATTGGGTAATATACGCCATTGCTTCAAAATAGCAATACCATAAAACAAAAATCTAGTTTGCACTGTATACATGTGGGTCTGATTTTCTAAATACAAAGAATTAATGTTCTTTCTGGTATTGCTATTATTAATTATTGTTATTATCTATGGATCATGATGATATTATGTTTATATGAAATAATATTTATGTAATAATTTTTTTTTATATTTCTTTAATTGCAGGTACAGGTAATACAGTTGTTGACCAAGGTAAACTATGTTTATATTCACTTCTACTGTAACAATGAATAAATATTTTTTTTTTTAAATAATAATGTCATCTTATTAGGCGCACGTATCCAACTCATGGTAGAATCTTATCTAGTCTGGGTCTCAAAAAGATTACCTCACATCTATATTCATTCATTTTATATGTGTGTATATATTTATGAAAGTATATATATATATATATATTATATAATTCATATATACATATATGTAATTCATTTACATTCATATGTATATAAACATATATATATATATACATATATGCTTATCTAAAGTATATCTGTTTATGTTATTGAATGCTGAATATATAACAACTGTCCACTCACCTCTGACAAAGAACTTTCTGAAAGCTCTAGTTTACACTTGTATTGAGGTTTTGCAAATGAGAATCTAGTGAGATCCCACTAGTTTCATGGAGTATTGTTGTTTTCTTTATTTTAAAATACATTATAAAAATTACATCAGCACTTTTAAGCAAATTGCTTTTAGGAAATTTCAAAATATTGCCAATTGATTGAATAGAAACTCTTAATTTTGTGAATAAAAAGTGTATTAAAAGAATTTGGGCTGAAGTAATAAACCTAATATAATATAATAATATAATGTGTATGTAAAACCAATCACAGACACTCGTGGGTATTTAGACTATGTTAACATTTACCAATTGTTTGCACTAGAAAGTTATCACGATATATTACTCCTATAATAATGGTGTTGGTCTGAAAATTTGTGGTTCTATTACTAATAGTAATCATATTCAAAAAAAATTAAATAATTTCCAGGTATTACCAATATATACTAGCCTGTGTTGAAGAATGTAAGAAATAATTATATATATATATATATTATATAATTCATATATACATATATGTAATTCATTTACATTCATATGTATATGTATATAAACATATATATATACATATATATATATGCATATGGGA